GAAGAAGAGCGATGGGCTCAGAGCCGATCCTTGGTGCACCCCAACGGTGACGTCTACGTCCTTTGTCAGGCAGTACGGGGTGCTTATAGCTGCTTTGGCTCCTTCGTACATGTTCCTCACTAGAGAGATAAGGTCTTCTGGTACATTTCGTTCCCTGAGCGCTCTCCAGAATACTGATCGTGGTAGACGGTGGAGCGCCTTCTCCAAGTAGTAGAAGGCTAGAGTACGATCGCGCTTTCCCGGTTCTCTCCATCACTTGCTTACCCACGAACGATGCCATCCACGGACGTTTTAGGCATAAGCCTTGACTGTTCCTGGGAGATTGGGACCAGCTCCCTTAGCTTCGAGCCGATCAGTCGCTCATACAATGTCATTATATGCGACATATGTCAAAAGAAATGGCTAAAGGTTTGGAAGGGTAAAGTTGCGGACTCAAAAAACAATGTGTTTAAAACGAGCTGCAAAAGATGTGGAAACTCTTTTGTATAGGCGGCTTCAACGAAAACCAGATCATGTCATCCATAGAATCGTGTTTTCTTGGCATTATCAGATAGTAATGTTGTTTGCATTTATGCTTTGTTTTTTTTTCTTGCCAACTCCAAAATGTAAGGCAAAGGCTGAACTAAATAGAAAATTTAGCCACGTTCGGAAAGCTGTTGCTTGATAGATGCATTTCCAACCGCTCCATGGACTACGCTGTTTATAAGGTTTGTGATAATATATCGCCTGTACAATAGTAACGAAAAATTTCGGTAAAAGTTTTCGCAAGCAAAATTAAACTTTACCTGCAGCGACATACTGAGACATGCCACCCATTTATTTGTTTCTCAACGACGAAATTCAATCTTGCAAGCCGGGAAATTATCTTCAAAGGAGGATTCCACGATAAGAACGAAGGTCGTAGAAGGGAAAACTAACTTAGTGAGGGAGAGACAGGGGAACCCCCTTAGCGTCCGGACCACGCAATGCATCGAAGGACATGGCGATCTTGCAAGGCCATGCCCTTGGCGCACTTGGCCCGGAACTCCCACCGACTATCTAATCACTTGCCACAGGTCTATACGCGGTGAGTGATTGGATACCACCACAGAAAGCTTCTTCTTCTTCTTAGCGTTGTTGTCCAACTCTTGTCGGGTACGCTTTTTCCACCAATGTTTTCCAGCGATCCCGGTTCCATGCATCGGCTGCAGACAGGTCCGCAGCATTCATGTCGTATTTCAGGTTGTGTAGCCATCGCTTTCTGGGTCGGCCTCTTGGAGGTGTACCGACGAACACTATGTTGTCTCCCGACTTGGACCAGCATCAGGGGGTCTTCGTAGGACATGACCGTACCAGCGGAGGCGTGAGGTAGCAAGAGTGTTGGCGATAGGTCGAATTTTGATTTTGTCTCGTATGTGTGTGTTCCGAATGCGGTCTAGACGCGTGTGTCCCAGGCACCATTGCAACATTTTCATCTCCATGGATCCATAGGCTCTTGTTTCGTCAGCTGTCATCTATTTCGTTTCTGCTCCATAAACAGCTACCGGCCTCACGACTGAGGTGTATATATTGGACTTTGGGCCTATTGGCATTTTCTTTTCACAAAGGATACAGGTGACCGTTCGCCATTTGTTCCATTCTGGCTATCGTGTCGGATTTCGTGTCAGTGTCCGCAGAGAGCATGGATCCGAGGTATGGGAATTTAGCCGTCTTTGGTAGGGGAGTCCCAGCTGCAACAATTGACGATTCTGTGACCACAGTGCTCATATATTCCGTCTTGTTAATGTTGAGCTTGAGTCCGTGATCATCGAGTTGTTTCTTCCAGCGGTTGCGCGTTTTTCTAACTTTCTCTTTGATTGATCCATAAGCAGCACATCGTCAGCGTAGCCCAGCGTCAGAGGCGGCTCATTCCGGATGTTTCTCGTGGCGTAGTCCATACAAAGGATGAAAAGTAGTGGTGAAAGGGCCGATCCTTAATGGACTCCAACGGTTACCGTAAACTGTGGGGTGTCTCCTACTGATGTGCGAACGGCAGTGACGGAGTTGAGGTAGGTCAGCTGTACAGCTTTGACAAATGCTTCAGGTACTTGTTGATATCTGAGAGCTTTCCAAATGAGTCGTCGTGGCACTCTGTCGAATTTGCTTTCTCCATCATCCGTCGGGCAACATGAATGGCATCGGTAGTGCTGTGCTCAGGTCGAAATCCACACTGCATCCGACTTATGTTGACTATCTCCCTCAGTCTGGTGTCTAGAATTCGTTCGAAGATCTTCAAAGTGTGACACATTAGACGAATATGACGGTAACTGGAGCAATTAGCAATGTCTCCTTTCTTCTTGTAAATGGGCACTGTGACGTTTTTGACCAATCTTTCGGAATTACTACTTTTTCTATACAGTTGTTGAAGAGTTCCGTCAAAATGGAGTAGCCTCCAAATTGTCTCCAGACCTCTACAGGAATGTCGTCTGGCCCAGTGGCTTCCATGTTCTTCATCTTTTTGACGGCTTCTTTGACTTCGTTCTCACTTATTCGTGGGATGGGTCCGTGGATCTGCGGCTCTTTTGGAGGCGGTGGATGCGGAAACTCCACGTTACAGATCTCTTGGAAATATTCTTGCCACCGATTTTTGATTTTGTTAAAATCGTACAGGAGGACTCCATCACTATCCTTGATGAACGTTGTAGTCGTAGTGAAGTCTAGTGTTGCTCTGAAGCGTCTCTTGGCAAGACTGTAAATCTGCTTTTCGCCTTCATTGGTGTTAAGTCCACATTGGATACCACAGAAAGCGTAGTGTTAAAAAGAGCCGATAGAAGCCGCGTCAATAAAGAAATCAATGGGCAGAGAAGCGGTCCAATCTTGGGTTCCGCGTCGTTTCACGTGGTTACATCTTCATCCTTGCTTCACTGACCACCACCCCCATCTCTGATAAGCTACCTTTTCATCGTAAAATCCGCCTTTGAAGGATGAATTTACGATAAGAACGACGGTCAAAGAAAGGGAAATTAAGTAGTTGTGAGACAGACGGACTTCATGAGAGGCTGACCGACGCGTCGGCAACGAAGGATTTGACTTCGACGATCTAGAGAATAGAAAACAATAATAAATCCGCACTAATCAAGTACATCTCATCCCGATTCAATACGCACCCCGCCCGGCCTGACAAAGGAGGTAGACGTCACCGTTGGGGTGCAGCAAGGATCTCCTCTGAGCCCATCCCTCTTCTTGCTAGCGCTGTATGTCCTAGTGATAGGGATCATGGAAGGGCCACTGAGGACCATCCCCTACGTAGAAAACGTAGACCTGATAGCAAAGAAGAACTCCAGCGACAAGGCACGAAAGCAGCAGAAAGTGTTTGCAGAGGTGACATCGTCAAGAAGGTCAAATTTCGTGAGCTGAAGTACAGAACCTGTCGTGGAACATGGGCGACATTGAAAGAGTGGAGCACTTTTAATTCAGGGAGCGACGGTAATGTGGACAAGCATGCAGACATGGATCAACGCGGCATGGATGGAATGGAGGGAATCCATGGGAATCTTCTGAATCGGTGGTGCTTCAGAATTGTTGAAAGCAAGGTGCACCTGACAGGGGTGAGGCCTGCAATGCTATAAGGCAGCGTGTGTTGCCCACTAAACAAAAATCACGAAAGGCAGTTTCACTCCTCTCAGATGAGGGTGCTGAGATGGGTCTGCTGCTTTACGGAGCTGGACAGCGTCGGAAGCGATGATGTCGGTCATGCACACTGCCCCTGCTTACGAGCAATGGTTAATTGGTCGGTCCGGCCATTTGTAGTGAAGGGTAGTACGATGCACGCGTCTTGCGACGCTAAGCTCAAATTCGTTTTCGGTTTTGTCGAACGATTCTCTGAACGAACTTGCGAGGGCTTCTTCTCACTGTGGCTATCTCACTGTGGCGCCTTCTGCGTTCCTTGTCCCACTCGGCTCGCGGTAAGTAGAGCCGCAGAGCTTCCATTGCGGTGGGTATGGTGATCTAGTAGATAAGCTCTTGCTTGGTGTGATCAAATGTTCGAATCCTTGTCCGTAGCGGACTTTTGCATTTTTTAAGGCTGCTCGTACGAAACCAAAAAGCTTTTTATTGGTTATTCTGCTGTTTATGCGTTCAGTTCGCTCTTTCTGTTTTTACACGAGCCAAGTGGGATAGGAGATGTGGAGTGGGCCACAGGTAATAAGATATGAGGTGATCACAGTGAGAAGAATCCCTCGTAACTTTGTTCAGAGAAGCTCGGCTAAAACCGAAAACGGATTTGAGCTCAGCGTCGCTAGACGCGTGCATCGGGCTACCCCTCACTACAAATGGCCGGACCGACCAATTGACCATTCCTTGTTGGTCGAATTTGCAGGAACGGCCTCTGCGATGGTAAGGACAGGGGCTAAGGAACTCACCGGATCACCCGATAGAAACGCCATGGACTTCAAGCCCAGGACTAGCGACCACGAAGAACGGCGAAGAAAAGGACATCATGAAGAAGGATCTCACTGAAGCAAGGGCCTCGGCTGAAGATGCTTTAGACAGGACGAAGTGGCGACGTCTAACAAAAACAACGCACCCTGCAACTGCGCTGGATTAGCATTGAGAATAAGAATAGAGAAAAAAAACTTTTCAGCTCAGTCATGAAGGCATGTACGGCCTTCCTTGTGCTCACCGGTTTTATTGGGTACTTCTTGCACTAAATTTGAACACAAAATTTTGCATGACTTTGAGATGCCAAGTTCTGTTTTTTTTTATATTTTTGCTTAAATTCGTTACTTTGCCATCTCATCACTTGAAACGATTCCAACAGAACTGTTAGTTGAAGTTATTTTGTCATTTTGCTTGCCATTACTGAATGAAAATCTAGTGACATGAGAGGAAGGTGAAGAAAATGCTGTCCTTATTCTTCGAGAAGCGTTTTTGCGATTGCGTCGGAAGATGCTGGGGAAGAAAGAAACTTTATTCACTTCAGCACAACAATTATTTTTAATGCCACAAATCTAGCGATCGCTTTGATCGACCAGGTTTCGAAACTAGATGTTCCATGGACGCATATTGTTTCTGAAATGTAGAAGTATACACGTCATGTACAGTGTCATGTTTCGAGTTGGCCGCAACACATGCACTTACCGGAACGTATCGAATCTGCATCTAAGGGTTAGAAAGCGTGTGCCGCGTGAGGCGGTTGCCAGAAAAGTAGCGCATCCAACCTGTCTTGCTCTGGGAAACCACAGCTAAAATTACGAAATGATAAGAAGAAAAAATTGTCCCGTGTTCTTGAGCGCGGGTAGCGCTTTATAAGAATCGTAGAGAATTTGAGCCGAAACATCACTGACCTGCTTGTATGGAACATTTTTCACGGCATCCTTTAACGTTTCACTCCAAGTCGTGAATGTTCTATAAAAACAAGATGGCAACACCATGAAGAAGACTTCCGCTCATTTGAAGTATATATCGTCGTTCCTCCCAGAGGCTCTTTTACAAATGAAGCGACGTATATCACCTTGTTATTGTGAATCCATCGTGGATTATTCCTATTTTCGTGCCAACTCCCGTGAAAGCTTCTCGTGCAAGTGGACAACTATACGTCTGTAAATAATGACAAATGATATTGGAAAACTAAATGTGGAGGAGTCGGACGTGTGTGAATTTGGTGTGTACCACATAGAAGACCCGCTTAGTGGCGCCTTGAATAACATTTTTGAAACTAGCGTTACGATACCTCTTTGACGTCTTCATTGGAGGGCGCTCTAACAAGGCCTCACTCATGCGGTCCTTCTGATTGACACATAAACAATATGACACGACATGTATAATATTTTGCATTAGGCTTTCGTTATATGTTTAGGAACAACCCAAGGCCAAGAGATTTCAAATATTTTTCCCAATGCGATATGTCGCGGCGAGGAAAAACGATCCAACAGCACAGCGCTCCTATGACACGGTAAGTATGGATGGAAACATTGGAAGCCTGTAGCCGCTGCAAATTGGCAAGGCTTTTTTTGATTTGTTGAAGCACTGAAACACACTGAATTGAAATACATAAGCCTATAGAAAGACTATACTTCAACATTAACTTTTTCAGGCAATGAGAATAGCCGTGCCGTCAGTAGCAATTTGTGACGGCAGGGTACTCGCGGCTAGAACTTTGATGTGCTGGTCGAATAATTGACTGTACTTTTGAACTGTAAACAGATATCCACCAAATGGATTTCAATAGGATATTGCACAGGCCATATGTTGCGTGCTCTATTTGTCTAATAACTTCTCGTAGCCTGCTTCAATGAGCGTTAGTTACCTGTTTATAACCTGGAGAACTCGCAGTCGAGAACAGGGAGTATACAGATTCTCACCCATTAGAGTCTTCAGAACCCTGCAAACAGACTCCAGTTGCTAAGCGGAGAAGTTTTTAAATTTCCGTTAAATTTTCCTATAAAATCACCATGTTTGGACCCCTATATCAAGTATTATTTTTTAAATGCACGCTTAGGTGCGCTATACTAAATCCATTTTGCGCATAATAAAATAATAGTGAATACAGACATTAACTAAAGTGAACCAGATATGAGAATACGAAATGAAGAGAAAATTTCAACGAGGAATTCTAAAAAGCATATATTTCGCAAAATACAAAGCAGGAGGATTTTATATAGGCTCAATCAGTTGTCATCAAACTGAAGTGTATTCAGTATTGGTGAGACAGTGTTGTTGTTTGTTCATTCCTACAAGCAAACACACATGTATGGATTCAGGAGCAGCATTTTTGGATGATATGTATACCTTACCCCCTCACTTCAGTTTATGTCCGCCACAGATCAGCCAATTTCGGAACAATTTTTTGGGTGGCCGCAGCTATAAAAGAAGGAAACGCAAAAAATTTGAAGAAGAAGAGAAGTATTGCGTGCAGGGTCAACCGTCCGTTCGAACTGTTTGAATGAGTGGCCGCATTTTGGTCGAAGGGGGTCGCAATTTCGAGGACTGCCAGCCACCGGCGCGTGCGTGGCCTATCCGAGGGCAAGACTTGCTGGTGCAGGCCGCATTAGATTTGATTTATTATGCACAGAGAGACAGTTTAGGCGAATCACAGTGTTTTCTTAAGGAATAAAGAACAGTTGGATGCATCCCTATGGAAGGTTTAACCTCGGGCTGAAAACAACGCTCTTTGGAGACCTATTTTTTTGGGGACGCTCCTTCTAATTTACTGTGAAACATGTGAGGAAGCGGAAATCTCGCAGTCTTCACGAATGTCTTTACTCCTCTCCGACAAGCTCTTTGAAGGAAGTTATCATTGCTGATAGCTCAAAAACTCACATGTGCTGCTCAAAAGCCCATGGGAAAAAATGTTCGGACGAGTGATTTCTCGAAAAATGAACTTTGAGAAACGGCTTGGTGCTTGTTAGAAAGAGAAAATCCTTCACTTTCAAAAGTGGTGTTCCGCAGGATGAGGTGCTACCCCCTTCTTATATTTGAATTCAACCTTTAGGGATTACGATGAGATTGGGTAGGATTCAAATATAAGAAGGGGATAGCATCTCATCCTGCGGAACACCACTTTTGCAAGAATAGAGCTTCGAGAAAGCATTTTCGATTTTGGTAGAGGTGGTCCTTAAGGTAGAGGTGGTCAGTGATGCAGGAATGAAGCGCAAAATGTGAAAATCGGCCTATAATACGAGAAGAGAGGCTCTACAGAGGTGGGGGAAGGGAAGACAAGAATGACTTCCCTCCACAATTAAAATGGAATTAATTACAGGATAACAAGGGTGACTCCCCTCCACAACTGGAACGAAGTTACACTTAACACTTAACTCCGGGAACATGGTGCACGATACGAGCTCATCGAGGTGTTCCTCGGATCGTGGACCATTGCAACGTATCTGAAACGCTGGTGAAAAGCTGTCTTGCAGCCTCTGGTGGCTACTCTCTCTAGAAAGCTATCCACCACTCAACCGATTGAAGAAATTATGTGGCAGCTTCAACCCAAAACCATTACAGCAAGAATTATAGAGCTCCACTGTTATGACAGATGACGTCGTATTCTGAATACGGTGAGGGCTGTGAACGAGGGGCCTGCTCCTGCTAAGGAGAGAAATCCATGGAATTTTAATGCTTGAAACTTACACCAGCTGCGGCACCCAGCGCAAAGAAAAGTTTGGTGATGTGCACCATGTGACTCCTTTTTGCTCCCGGTGACTTAGGCACTGAGGCGAGTCTTATCGTTGCTGAAGACGTCATCGTGAGTGCTCCACTCCATCTGCTTTTCTTGATCATCAGTGCTCATTTTTCTTTCCACACGCAGTGGAAAGTTCACGCTCATTGGCCCGCATATTTTTCGAGCGTAAAAAGTAGCAACGGTCAATGTCACGGAACATCCACATGCGTGCAAGAAAAGTCGAGAATAATAAGATAATCCAAAGAGTTGAAGAGTTGTGCAGAGCTATTACCATTTTGCATGCAGTGGCCTCATGACTGGCAAATGTTGTGATGATAAAAAGGGTGACAACATAAAAATTGGTATCTGTAAGGATGATTTTTTTTGAACGTTCGTCTAGTGCTGTAACCAGCAAGAATAAAAGTTGAAGAATTGTAAACGCTCTTCATCCTTGAACTGTGAGTTCCGAACTTTACCACACTTTCTATGACCAGCATTTTTGGACAAGAAAGAAAGTTTTTGTCCTGATAATAACGTCGCTTACGCTCAGCAACATTCTTTGAGCCTTGAAGCTCAGCGCTTTCTGCAAACTTCGAGTCGAATTGATTCAAGCGGACAAGCCAGGTACCCCTATAAGTCGGGCGAGCAAGTATGAGATCAAATCCACCTTACTGGTTTGCAGATTTTGTATATAGGGAGAATTGGGTTCCATCTGAGGTTTATCATTCCAACAACATCCGTGGCGATTCCATAGAAACGTTCTTGTTGCATTCGAATCTGAAGACACAGATAAACATTAAATTAGTTCATTACTGGAATGTTGGAGAAAGAAAACAACCTGGGAGCTGCCCTCCCGGCAAGCAAAAGAAAGCAGCTTTATCCTGAAACCGAATCGACCAATTTTGGGATTAATTTCGTCGAATAAGCAGTAAGAACACCATCCCAAGTGACAGGGTGAACAGATCGCATTCCCAGCAAGAAACGATTGTCACCTGAAAGGTGGTTTACGCCATTTTCAAGTTTGGCGGGTGCTTTATACAGAAATTTTTTCATGATAAGTCGCAACAAGTAACAGGAATAGCACGTCAAGACCGTCGACATGTGCTGAATAATAGGTGTTTACCGTGGGCCTCCGCTGTGTAGTTCTCTCTCTAGAGGTGTAAACGCAACGAAGACTATCAAATGAATTTACCTCGTTGGTTTTGAGTGTCATCAACCCAGAGAAGTATCACATTGGTCTCACTGTGTTATTGTTGCTTCATAAGCCCCAAATCTCACTCACAATTTTCCTTAACCGACATTCTCAACATCGGGTTTGAGCACTTTGCTGACAGGCCAGGGTGAATTATCGGTCCGACGAAATCCTCGAAGGGGATCGTACCTATTTGGGCTGGTCCATGGGGGGCCGTCGTACTCTTGGGGTCAGTAACAGAATATGATATCAGGTGCAGATAGGCTAATAGGGTATAGCGCTAGCAGAAAAGAAACATTCTCGAAAAAAAAACATGATATTAAATTTTTCTTTGCAGGTTCAGTCCGCTCCATTCCACCACCTTCATTGAGAAGGGCGCTATTTGAGGCAGTACAAAGAAATGAAAAGTGGCATTTCGCAAAGAAGAGGTGCCACATGTCACGCGGCTGAACGCACGCTCCTCCGCCTATCACCGCTCCTTCTGCCTTAATACCGGTTCGCTGAGGAGTGACCTGTTGTTAGGACCCCTGTCGGAAGAAACGACAAACCGTGAAGAAAAAGCGCTGGCAGATGAAGTGTTATTCTGTAGGTTACAAGAGAATATGCACAACACACTAACACTACTACAATAAAGCCCAGTTTTCGGTTCGGAAGGTCCCAAATCAATATAACACCTTTCATATCGATTCGCACGTGTGAGTGGAGGAGGGATGCATCGGCTTACACCAATTACATCGGATGATGGCGAATTGCTCCTATCTTATTGTTGTGCGTTAAAGATATTGTTCTAGACACATTCCCGAAGTGTTATCCAACGAGTCACATCTGCAATGGGAATGAGGGAGCGGATTTCCAGGTGGCCCGGATGCCGAAACCTGATAAGATCCTCGACGCAATTTATCTCTCCAACCAACAAGCTGTAGAAGAAAACTAAAACAAAAATGTTAACCATCAGAAGCGCAAACCTTCCGCTTTCCAAAACTATCTCCCCTTCAGCGATTCTACTAATAAGAAGATATAGCTTGCTCTTGCAGTGGCAAACAACTCGCGTGAAAATTCGGCCTCCTCGACATTTACTCGACAAAATTTTAGAGAGAGCCCTTATCTTTCTGCAAGGGAAGGCTTCCAGAGCATTCCGTCTTTTGGAAACGCTAGGTGGAGCTGTTTTCAGCGTGCGCGCGATAATCCAGCCTCTATCTAACTCTAACCTCGCTCTTCAAAAGTTGCTAAATTGGAGGACATGCAACCTTGTTCATCGAGGGGTAGATTGACAGTATTTTTTTTTTTTTGAAAATTTCGCAAAATCTGAACAGTGACAATCGCGCACCAGCTGGCCGTTGAATCGGCCTTTGATACCGCTGCGGCTTTTTTGATATACTCAAGCAAGAATCACGATTGAATGCGCACTCCGTGTCTTCAGGATTTCCTGTGCGTTTCTGAAACGAACCCTCGCCTTGAGGTCACACAATATTGATATGCTTCTTTTCCTCGAGTCGATATTGCAGTATTAATCACAAAAGTATGCAGCGATGGGAGACGTGCATAGATGACAAGATGAAGCGCTTAGGATTGCTTTGCAGAATTTTTTTGATTGTTTTGATTTTTTTTATGCATTGTGGTTTTGCAGATTTATTTAATGTGAATAAGTTTGCTCTGTTAGAGGGGTCGTGCCAGGATCGTCGATTTCGGGGTGGGTGTGGGGTCGTATCCTCTGGCGACCACGTACTCGACACGATTTTCCCACCTCTTATTCTGCTAGACAGGTTCGCTCCATATTGAGCGCAAAATGCAAACACCTGGAATGAACTAGAAAAGCCTAGTAAAAAACGCTAAGCCCGCTTGGGTGATTGGTTCTGAGCTGCCCTTAACCTTTTGGTCCCCCCCCCCCCCTTTTGCTACGTGATCTTCCAAGGAAAAAAGCATTCACAATGTTGAGTGGCGGAGTAACCTTTAAGCGAAGGAACTACGTTAGATGTTGTTTGGCTATAGTGTGATGTGGGTATGCTGAATAATGCCCCACTTGCGAAAAAAAGCCAAAGGAATTTCTTAAGCGGACGCGCAAAATTTCTTTGACCTACGATAAAGACAGCCCTGCAACCATTGAGGAAGCTCGTTTGTACATGTTTTACCGATAGCTCGCTATAATTTCAAGCAGAGATGCTTGATTGATGTATGCATTCCATGGGGTTTGGCGTAATGCTCAAAGTGGAAGTTAATCTCATCAACATGATGCTACCAACACAGCTATTGGCGCTTAGGGAGGATTGGCAGCGCCCAGGGGATCGAAATGCGGTGGCGGCCCCTAGTCACGACAAAACCAAGTCTCTTTGTTTAGGCCTCTGAATCTGCTTCTCACTGCTGCGTGTGCTTCTCATGCTTACACCACACTACATTATCTCGTAAATCTATCGCTTTCAAACTGGCGCGATAGAATTAGATAGATATTAGGATATAAAGTAAACAATAAAAGCTGTAGTAGCACAAAATTAAACGGAGAAGTAGAGACAACATAGTATAGGAATATGCCACGAACTGAGTACATCTGGTAAATCCTAGCTGGGAAGTCGACACACTATTAACTAGCTCTTAAAATGAAAACCATTGAGTTGGAAAGCAAACATGATGATAAAATTGCAGTTGACTTCCGAAATGAAGTTAAACAAATCGCCCCACAGAAAACGTTGTCGGCAACTCTTGTGAACAGCGACTTACGTCACAGCGGAGCGCTAGGTCGCTTACAAAGTCAGGCATACGGGACTAATCTCTAGCCATTTGGACGAGTTGCGGTTTTTGCGCACACCCCATAGACAATTTTCATGGCGTCTTTTTATATTTTCAGCTCATTCTGCATCCACCAACTTCATCATCAATCGTGACTAACCCCACAAAATCGAACTTTTTCTTACGCTTTCTAACATCATCTTGACCATTTTCAGCGTTCGAGAGTTTACCTCCTCTCTTCTCCCTCCCCCTTCCAGTTGACGAGGTTGCTAAAGCGTAGTGATTTCACGGCTATGACGGCACGGGTAAATGTTCGTTGTTGCAGACGCGGGTACATGATTCATCCGCCAACAAAGTTAATATACGTTTTTGTCCGAATGGGCACACGTTTCTAATATAAGTCTACAAATAAGATTAACAATTTCCAGCTAGTATCTCATATAAAGCACTGAACTTGTTTAGTGAAGATGATTCTCACGCCAAAGTCCGTGGGACTTGTGAGTTTATACTCTTCACGTAGTCCATAACATTGTTCAAGAGCATCCAATCGAAGAGATGGAACCCATTGGATTTTTTTGCTGATTTTTATAAGTTACCAAAAATTCAGGCAAAAGTGTATATCAAAATGGTAAATTTGAAGATTTTTTGCTCCATTCCCCGAGTATTGCTATTCATCGAAAGCCAAATCATTTAAATTGAATAAAGAGAACCAATTATTCCGAAGAAGTTCGTACCAAATGTTACAGAATAGTATATGCTGCGAAGTTTCACAATACATGTTTCTTTCCAAAACAATTAAACGTTTCTTTTTACAAGGTTTCGAACCTGGCTGATAAGAGCTCATTACAGAAATTTGCTTTCATGACGTTTGAGGTACGCCCTTCAATGCAGCTTCTAGCAGCCCTTTCAGGAATTCCTTGAAAGGGCAATACGTAATGCTGGATGGATGTCTAGCCGGATCGACATTTTCCACAAGCCCAGGAAACATACCAAAAGCTATAGCATTGTGCGAACTCGTTTAGGGAAAGCGGTGCATCAGCGCTGAGAAGTCGCGTTTCCATTCTCCTCAACAAGCATGCTATCGTGTTATGTTCTAGCATAATTAAACTTTCATTCATACTCTCGTTCGCAGGTAGACGAATTATAACACATCTCACTTGCAATGAAGTGAATGAAGGCGCTGTAGGATAATATACTGCCACGCAAAGCCCCTCCGAGCTCCGCGCCGGGACACAGCCCTTTGTAGCGCTTCTACAAAAAAATTAATTCAAAAATATTACAGGTGTGTGTACATGTCCAAGTCGCCTGTAAGTACTTATACATGACATTGAATGCAATTTTAACTTCCAGGGATTATTGAGGGCTCTCACGATTAAGTGAAGCTGGTTGTGGAGTATGACGGTGCAATTGTTCCGGACGTGGTTGCATTCGTTTTCCTATCAGTTTGCAATTCTTATTATATTTTTCATTATATTATTATTCACTTTCCCACAGCAAAGAATACCTCGTAACCATAAAGTCACATGTACTGTCTTGAATGGATGTCCTCCTTGGAAAGCAGTTGTTTGGAGCCCTCGCTTCAAACTACTGTGTTACAGAAATAAACTAACAGGGAAAATAAGCTCATCACGGGCATATGAGACTGAACTTAACGGTGCATACAAACGCGGTGCAGCATCAATAGAGGCAACTCCCCCCCCGCCCCACATTGTGACAATATCGCTTATAGAGAGATCGTCGCCCATTGCCACTTAGAAGTCAGGACGTGCCTTTGAAAAAAAGCCTTAGACTCCTCATCCCGCGTAATCAATTAGCTTTTTTCTGTATTGTTTAGACAAAATTTATAGTTTTCAAAGAAGCAAAAATCATCCGGACGACCAAACGTGCTCTTAAAACCTTAAAACATATAGAAATAACGCCGAATTCTATGTCTTGACTATTACTAAGTAAACAACTCATTTCGCTCGACGTCAGAGTGGAAATGAGCACTGTCGTGTTGTGTTCCTCTTGGGATCCACGACGTAGTTAGCACAATGTTTTTTGGAAGACATTTAGCTGAATTACAAGGAAAGTACTGCACTTATACATAAACCGTGCAGAGCCCGCCAGATCTAATGTCGAAATCCAGGACGAAGTCACAGTAGGTTACAGATCAGATCTACAAAAGAAATTGAAAATTATGTGGATTTACTACCGGACCCGGCGCCCCCTTAAGATTGTTGGCTCTGTGCAAGGATCGCGCCGTGGAAGCACTAGCGTACCGCCATTTCACTAGCACGCAGCCACATGCCTGCTGGATT